TTATCACCTTGGAAACCCAAAGGGGGTCACTGTGAGTTGGAATTGCCTTGATGGCAGTGGTTTTTTTCTTTATTAGTGAATAAAGCAACTGAGAACTACAGCTTAAGGCATTTTTAAAATAAGTACAGCTAATTATTTCTCACAAACACACACAAAAAAATACACCTTGAATTGATGAACTTGGGGGGCTGGGTGTCTGTTTCAAATGGGTTATGTGCTTACCTCAACAGAAGGACCCAATCAGAAGCCAGATGAAATAGTGAAGCCATTTAAAAACAAAATAAAACAAAACAGAAAAACCCACTGTCAATGAGTTGTTTTCAAGTCATGTTGTTATGTGCCGTCACGTCGGACCCGACTCACAGCGACCCCTCCTTGGGTTTCCGAGGCAGTATCACTACGGAAGTAGATTGCCCCATCTTCCTTCTGAGGAGTAGCTCGTGGGTTTGAACCGCCAGCCTTCTGGTTAGCAGTCAAATGCCTTAGCCACTATGCTACCAGAGCTCCCTTTCAAGTCACAGTGACCCTGTAAGACAGACTAGAGCTGCTCCATAGGGTTTCCTAGCTTGAACTCCATAGAACCTGACTGCCACATCTTTCTCTTATGCCCATGTTTTGGTGGGTTCAAACTGCCGACCTTTCAGCTAACAGCCAAGTGCTTAACCACTGTGCTATCAGGGCTCATTAATGAAGGCATGTTGTTGTTGTTGCTGTTAGGTGCCGTTGAGTCGTCTCTGACTCATAGCGACCCCATGAACAGCAGAATGAAACACTGCCCGATCCCGCACCAGCTTCGTGATCCTTGCTATACTTGAGCCCACTGTCACAGCCACCATGTCAATCCATCTCGTTGAAGGCCTTCCCCTTTTTGACCCTCCACCTTACTATAATATGATTATCTTTAAAATAAGTAGGAACCGCTGAAACTACATTTCAAAATAGTTGAACTGGCAGATTTTGTTATATGTATTTTATCACAGTAAAAATCAATGGCAGCAACTGGAAGGGTTAGATGGGAAGCTTGGGGGCAGTGAGTTTATGTTAATGGAGGAGGAAAAACTCAGAAAAGGAGGGTGAAGACGGCTGCAGGGCATGAAGAACGCCATCAACGTCACCACGTTGTCACCGAGAAACTGCTGAACTGGTGTATGCTCTGTGTTTATTTTCTTTTGGCCTTTTTTTTTCCCTGTGTTTATTTTCAACAACGAAAACAAGTTTTTAAAAAAGTAGAAGTAAAATCTAGGAAAAAAATCTAAAAATGCTCATGATGGTAACCCACCCACTGCCATCAAGTCGATTCCAACTCATTAGAGACCCTACAGGACACAGTACGACTGTCCCATGAGGTTTCCAAGGCTGTAAATCCTTACGGAAGCAGACTGCCTCATCTTACTCCTGCAGAGCAGCTGGTGGGTTTGAACCACTGACCTTACGATCAGCAGCCAAATGCCTTACCCACTACCACCAGAGCTCCTAAATTACAGGTGCCTTCTTTTTGAGTGTTCTCCCTTGGAATAATAAACAAGCATATTCCTTACCTGCTGGGAAGAAAGGCAAAAAATGTAAAGCTGGCTTACCTGAGGTTTAGCTTTCGGTCATCATCGCTGCCAGCCTCCAGCTACAGACAAAGAAACAGAATGTTAGAGCAGCCACCACTATCAACAAGCCCCAGGACACAAGTGTCACATTTTCTGCTCTGGTGCCTGAGAAAGATAAAGATGTCCAGGAAACCTGGCTACTTCTCAGCAGCACACCCCTTCCTTACCAATCCCGACCTGCTGTGCCTCAGAGTCATTTCTATGGAGGCTTTTCAAGGTTCCTAAACAGTTACCCACATTCCTACCACAGCATTGGGGTTTGATGCCTGGCACACCATTTCCTACCTGCACTGTGACTCACAGACTCTTAGCCCCCAGGTCTCCACTTTCTCTAGCCATTCAGGATCATTATCTTGGCTTTTCCTTTTTTAGAGGGAGGGAGAAGTGTTTTAAAAGAATCCATTTTCTCCTGCAGGCTAGGCGAGAACAGGGGAACATCACCATCTGAAGTCCCAACACACGGATTTATAAAAGAAAAAATCATTCCAGGCAAGTCTTTCCCCATGGAAGGTGGCCAACATCCGACTGTCTGTCTGTGGATTTCAAAAGCTTTTCGTGGTTGTCAGAGAGGCTTAAATGTTTAATATGAACCCTTCTAGGCTACTGCTTTATTTATACAAATGAAAGTAAGGGACAGTAATATTTTCTAGAAGCCAAAAGGCCAGGAGGTGAGATTCCAAAAGTAGGTGTAACATAAGCCTTGATAACTTTATTTTTCTTTTCAGAGAGAAAACCGAAATGAGAACACACAAATACCCCAAATCACTGTGCGGCTGGCACTTGGCATGTTTTGTATGTTACACAGAGGCGTCCATTGAGTGGGAGAGAGAAACCTGGAAGGCAGCGATGGCTGCGAGAGATGCAAGGCTGACCGAGGACAGAAACGAGACAGGAGCCAAGGGCGAGCGAGAAGGAAGTGGAGCTCACGCAGGCACGGGCCCGGGCAGCACGGACACGTACCAGGAGGTGGCAATTCCAACAGAGGAGTAACCAGAGAGCCCTGGAGCCCCTAAGGTTTTTGAAGGTGGTGTATGTCTAGGAGCGCCTGGTTGACACAACCAGTTAAATGCTCGACTACTAGCCCAAAGGGCAGCAGTTCGAACTCACCCAGAGACACTTTGAAAGAAAGCCCTGGTGGTCTGCTTCCGAAGGGTCACGACCTCGAGGAGCTTACGGAGCACAGCTCAGCCCTGCACACGCGGGGCCACCACGAGTCAGCACTGACTCGGCGGTAACCAACCACCACGTACACCGAGCTCACCATGCAGAGGCATACTGCCGGTGGCTGGTTAGTTCCCACTTTCCCTTCCCCAAGGAGCCCTGGTGGCACAGTGGTTAAAGCACCCAGCTGCAAACCAGACCCACCAGCTGCTCCGTGGGAGAAAAGATGTGGCAGTCTGCTTCCGTCAAGATTTACAGCCTTCAAAACCCTATGGGGAAGTTCTACTGTTTCCTACAGGGTCATGATGAGTCAGAATGGACTCAAGTGCAGTGGGCTTGGCCCTCTATCCCACGCCAAAGGGGAAGTGGGAACACTTGGGAGAGCTGTACTAACTATAGAGCCGTGAGCTGTGGTCCTAAAGGGCAACGTAAGCAAAACAACCTACACAACAACAACTTACAGGAGAATGCCGGGTCCAGCTCTGTAATCTCAATCAGGGGCAAGGCTGCCTCCCAAGGGACTCTGGGTAATGGGGGGAGACATTTTTGGGGGGCTGCTACCGGCATCTGGTGGGGAGAAGCCAGGACATTGCTAAGCATCCTCCAGTGCACAGGACAGCCCCGAAGAAAGAGAATTCTCTGGCCCCCAATGTCAGTGGTACTGAGGTTGAAAAACTCTGGTTCAACCCCAAAAAGTGCCTAGAGATCTGCCCAGGCAAACTAGTCTCCTTGAATGTTTGTCAAAAGTAACACTGTCACGTTCCATTCCTGAAAATCAGATGGATTTCTTTTGTGCTCTGCCGACTCCCACAAAGGAACTGAGATAGTTAATAGTTAAATGATGTCCATGGGATCACTGAAGATTGAAAAAGAAAAATAAGCAGGAGAAAAAGAAGAAAGCATTGCTTTACTCCCATGGTGACTTCCCCTGGTTCTCCACACTCACAGCGCATGTGCCCTCCTCCAGTGTATTTCAGATGAGGTGACACCCAGAGGGGCAACGGGACCAAGGTCTGACCAGAGGCAGAGCTGGCCGGGACCCGGGTCTCCTGACTCCACACACAGGCTCCTTCCATTCTATCTTGCTTTATGCCTCACCTCCCCGGGATATCCCAGCCTCCCTCATTCATGGGGCTCCTAATGCTGAGCATCCCCTGAAGTCAAGTAAGCCTTATCTGATGTCTGTTGTTCTACGTCACTTAGGCACCCTGGTGGGGCATTGGTTAAAGTGTGCGCGGCTGTCAACCGAAAGGTTGATGGTTCAAACCCACCAGCCACTCCACAGGAGAAAGATGTGGCAGTCTGATTCCATAAAGCCTACTGTCTTGGAAACCCTATGGGGCATGTGGTGTGATGGATCACTTTTATACAGGCTTTCTTGCCATAATCTTGTAACTCCCACCAAATGATAGGGTGGGACTATGTAAATAAGGTGTTTGTGGCCCACCAAGGGGACTGGACAGTTTGCTTATAATGCAAATATGGTGCAAGGCTGCGAGTTGGACCATGCAAATTAGGTACACAGAATCCTGAAGAGGGATTGGTCAGTTTTGCCATCCTGGTAGGCTTAAAATGAGCCATCCCAGAGGTGGACGGGGGGACCTCACTACAACCAAGAAGAAATGGGAGCACAGCATGCATGTTCTTTGAACCCTGAGTCCCTGCGCCAAGAACCTCCTAGACCCAGGAGACAGAGAGAGAGAGAGCAAGAAAGAGCTGTAACACTAGAGACAGTGCGAGATGGCGAGAAACAGTGGCAGAACCAGGAGACTGGCGTAGAATGGTGCAGTGGGCTTCCTGCCGCAGAGCAAGGAGGTTACAGCAGGGGTGCTGACCCACAGAGCAATGCTGAATTGGAACCTGTTACTTCCCTACTAAACCCCGTAACTATGAGTATTGTCTATGAGTCCCATGCCATTGCAATGAATTCTCAAACCCAGCAAAGAATGCCCTGGTGTTAGAATTGGTAAAAAGGTTGGAGGGTAGAGGTATGGCTGACTTTCACCTCACAGCAATCAACCTTGGGCTGATTGTCATTGGATTGATGGTCATTCTCTCTTCCCCTCCTGAAGCGAGAGGACCTCTGATGACAGGTGCCATCTTTACAGGGCAGTTCTACTCTGTCCCATAGGGTTGTTGCAAGTTAGAATTGATTGGAGGCAATGGGTTGTTCTGTTTTTAAAGTAATCACCAGCTTCGGCATGATAAGACCTGGGCTGAAAGGGGCTCTGGACAAGCCCTGCCCGAAGCCGGTTCTTCACCATCTCAGGCAGTTCTATGCCAAGAACACGAAATTAAGTGCGTGAAACACTTTGTAAACTTCAAGGCAGCAGTCACAGGAATGATGTCAGAGAACAGACGCCTATGTGGGGAGGAGAGCAGCTACAGCAACCTCACTTCCCAGTTGCAGGCAACTCACCACCAGCGTTCTGCCTGTCATGGGCATGCAGAAGAGGAGCCTACCAAGGCTCTTCCGTCTACAGACAAGAATAACTCGTTAATGGCCCCCTCCAGAAGAGGAGCTCTAGTGGCGTAGTGCCTAAGGCATCTGACCACTAACCAGAAGGCTGGCAGTTCAAACCCACCAGCCACTCCTCAGAAGGAAGATACAAGTCAGAACTGACTCGACTCGATGGTAGTGAGTTTGGAGTTTAGGAGAGGAGGGGGCTGCAGAGTTTCACCCTAACAGTCACTCTGTGAAAGGTCCTGTCAGTCAGTCCTTCTCTCTCTGCCTCATGCACATGCACGGACATGTGCGTGCATAGGCACCCCCCCCACACCCCTCTCCTACATTATCAGTCAGCTTCCCCCCTCCTCTACCACAGGGCTGTCAGGGCTCCTCCTTCAGCTGTCTTCTCTGTTCTGAACCCAGTTAACGGCCTCCTCTCCCAGCTGCCCCCACCTCAGGCTAACACAGTCTGGTTGTGGCTTCCAGTTTCAATGGGAAGCCTTGGTGGCTTCTCCAAAAGCAAGCGTACAAGGGGTGGGGGCGGAGGGGAATAGGAGGGTCAGCAGGTCAGCAAAGGGGTGCCCTGCTCAGAAGGCCCGGAAGCCCCAGCCTAGGTCACTCCAGCTTGATTCTGCAGACTTACTGTTGCTGGGTGCTCTGCATGTGACAGCGCAGAACTGGCCCCCCACAGGGTTTGCTGGGGTGCAATCGTTATGGGAGCAGATCACTAGGTTTTTCTCCCATGAAGGTGCTGGGTGGATTTGAACCTCCAACCTTTCACTTAGCAGCCAAGCACTTACTGGTAATCTTTGCGCCACCAAGGTTCCTTAGAGGCATCGATCCTCAATGTGCCCTAGAGCGAAGGGGCCAGCCAAACACAAACCAGTACCAGGAGTCACCAAGCTGGCGCCAACTGATGACAACCCTAGATGTGTTGAACTGCACTCCATTAGGCTTTCAACGGTTGATATGTCAACAGTAGACTGTCAGGCCTTTCTTCCAAGGCCTCTCTGGGTGGATTCAAACCACCAACCTTTAGGTTAGCAACTGGACACAAACTGTTTGTACCAACCCAGGGGTTCCCACTGGCAGGCAGACCCATAGAAACCCTGACCAATGCAGAGAAATGGAGAATCAACTATAATCTAGGCATATGCTCTCAATTCTCAAATACACTAATGCAACCCCTAAAATCCCAGAATCAGTCACAGCCACATGGGCAGATGCACATAAACATACAGCCAAATATTAGCCAAACCCACTGCCATCGAGCCGATTCCGACTCATATCGACCCCCTTTGGGTTTCCGAGGCAGTAAATCTTTACGGAAGTAGATTGCCTAGTCTTCCTTCTGCGGAGTGGCTGGTAGGTTTGAACCATCAACCTTCTGGTTAGCAGTCAAATGCTGTAGGCACTGTGCCATCAGAACTCCTAGCTAAATATTACAAAAGGGAAAAATCCACACCCAGTCACAGAGACACATAAGACACAGTCACAAAGAGTCCACAGCACACAGTTACTGTCACACAGTTACACATCGCCCAAGGGGCACAGCCACACACATCTATAGTCAGACCTCCATAGGCACAGTTGTTGTGTTACTCATAGAGACCCCTCCTTGGGTTTCCCAGGCAGTATCACTACAGAAGCAGATTGCCCAACCTTCCTTCTGAGGGGTGGCTGGTTGGTGGGTTTGAACCACCAGCCTTCCGGTTAGCAGTCAAGTGTCTTAGGCACTACGTCACCAGAGCTCCCCAGAGGCACAGGGTCTCTCAGAAACAACAACGTTACACACTCAGTCCTTGTGACCAGCCTTTCTCACACCACATTACAGGGCACCATCCCCAACAGAGAGGTCACAGAGTTACAGATGGGGTCACACAGTCTTGCATACACATGCGAGGAAAGGGGGACATAACAGTTAACAGGGTCATGAACCTCAGAACCAGAATCTCTGTCATCGAAATAGGAACCCCAAACACACAGTGTCACACACAGTCACCCCCAGATGGAGGTCACAACCACACACACACAGTGTCACACACTCACTCCAAGACGAGGGTCTCAAACACACAGCCAAGTGTCTCAAAAAGTCACCCCTAGATAAAGGTCTAATCACACACACAGTGTCACACAGTCATCGCCAGATGGGGGGCACAACCATGCAGTGTCATACGGTCACCCCCCGTAGCGGTCACAATAACACACAGTGTCACACACTGTCACCCCCAGACGGGGGTCACACCGGCACACGGTCTCATCCCCGTCACCCCAGTCTGGCTGTACCGGCAGGCTAGGTCCCTAGGCCCCTGATTCTCGCAGCCGCTCCGCCGCAACCCCGACACCCTCCCGCACCGCATTCGCAGCCTCGGCCCGGCGGCCCGGGCGCGGAGCCGGACGGCCCAGGCCTGGTGCGGCGGTGGCTCGGGCCCGGGGCTCACCTCGCTGTTGCTGGCGGAGGAGGAGGCGGCGCTGGGCGTGGGCGAGCGCTGTAGGGTCACCAGGGCCATGGCTGCGGCGCGGC